CCGCCTCTGGAACCGCACGCTCATCAGGTAGCCGTTGATGAAGGGAATGGCGCTGCGAAGGGCGACCGGCTCCAGCACGGGGGCGGCGCACCGCGGCTGCACCCCCTCTCGCAAGGTCCATTTGGGGGGCAGGGTGGTGAAGGCGCGGAACGTCCCGTTCAGGTACACGCGCAAATCCCAGCTCGCGTTGATGGCCCGTTGGCACTTGTTGTCCGAGGTCAGGGTGGCGTTGAGGGCGCAGCACTTGGCGACCGAGACGCCCTTTTTGGGGGCGACGGCGCCCCCCACGGCCCCCACAAGCACCAGCACGACGCACTGCGCACGTAGGACTCGGCCAAACAAACAACTGCCCATCGTGAAATCAGGTCATGTCAAGCGTCGTCAAGACAACCACCGGATACCAACACTGCGCCGCGCTTCGCTGGCGACTGCTTTCTTGCACTTGATTGGCTTGCGTCCGTTTACAGTTAGACGGGGGGAGGGGGGCGGCGACAACAGCGCAGTCTTGACTTGAAGGAGCTGAGCTACGAGGGCAGGACGAAGTCAACTCGACTCCAGGACTTTGTTCGGGAGCGAATTGCTGGGACACCAGGGGCAGGCCAATCAAGACGCTGCTAATTCCAATGATTTATTCGCAACCAGCGGACTTCGTCCCATTACACCCGCAAACGCCGCTTGGGCTGGGCTAAACTAGTACTAATCAGTCAGGCCTGGTAGATGCCGGCGCCCACATTGACGGCTGTTGCCAGGTCGTGGCTTTTGTCGTTGAGGCGCTGACGGATCAGCTCGGCGATCGCGCGCTGCGTCTGGCGCTCCAGGCGGGCCGTCTTGGGCCCCAGGTCGCGCTTCAGGTCCCAGTCGGGCTTGCGGGGCGCCAGCGCGGTCACGTCCAGCTGCTCCAGCACGATGGGGGCGGCGCCCGCCTCCAGCTGCTCCCTGACCTGCCGCCATAACCTCAAACAACTGCCGCTCGAGCCCCTTGACCACTCACCTGCTGTCCGATGTCCTCGGGCCGGCTGTCGCTCAGCAGGTTCTGCTGCAGGCGTGCGTCCTGCGGCTGGTAGCTGCGGAAGATCGGCTGCGGCAACGCTTCGTGCTCCCCCTGCAGGGGCTGCGCTCCCCCTTGCCCATCACGCCTGCGCTTCAGCGCCAGCAGTCGCTGGCGCCTCTCCTTGGCCTGCTCCTCCAATGGGGCTGCGCCCTCCTGTGTCATCTGTGCTGATCTGGGCCCCTAAATACGCACTAAACCTGGATCTAAACAACTTGCCACTGAACCTCACTTTCCTAGGCGACATCTAGTGGGGGTTTCCGGTCGTAAACGTCAGCGTTTGTTTACGACCTAACCTATGCACGGTGTAAATAA